TGCGGGTGCGACTGGAGATGGAGCTGCTGAGGGTGTTGGCGCTGAGGCTACTGCTGTCGGTCCTGGAGGCGGTCCTGCTGGGGGTACTACTGGTGCTGCTGGAGGTACTGGAGCTGGAGGTGCTCCTGGAGCTGGTGCTGACGCTGGGGGTGCTGGTGCTGTCCCTGCTGTGTCTAGAGTCGCCGCGCGGCCTCGCCCGTACTTCGTTCCGCTCCTACAGCAGGTTCTTGGTCTCCCGCCTTGTACTAGTCCTACTCCTCCCTTAGAGCGTCCACAGCCTGTCCTGTCACAATTACAGTTACAGCCGTCCTCCACACTACCTGCTCCTTCTCCCTACACTGGTCCTACTGGAGGTCTTGCTGAGCGTCGTGAGCCTGCGTCTCGCCCTGCGTCGCCTGTCCGTGTTGCTCGCACTAGTGGTCATGGTTCGCGTCAGCGTCCTCCTCCTGTCCCTGGCACGCACCGGATGTCTCTGCGTCCGTCCACTGCTCCTCTACGTGCCCCTTTGCCTTCTCCTCTTGACTCCTCTCTTCCTACTCTTGCCGACCCGGAGTCGGACTCTCTTCGTGCTGCCAGTCCTACTGTCACGCGTCTCCTTGCTACTGTCGTCACTGACCCTTCCTTTGAGTCCACTGCTGCGTCTGCCCTAGTTGCTGAGATCGTCGACTTTGCTGCTCGCTGTCGTCTAGACTACGCTGCTAGTCTTGTCGCTGAGTATGAGTTTGTCTGACCTCTGTCCGTTGGGGGTGAGTGTGCCCTTGGCACGGACGTCCTTGAGGACAGGAAGGAGGAGTTCCAGTGTCTAGCTGCTGCTTCACCTCATCTTGTGTCCACACTACTTAACCCTGAGGGAGACCCGGATGCACTTGACATCCCGACTCCGCGCTCTTACGCGGAGGCGATAGAGGGTCCCTACTCCTCTCAGTGGCAGGCAGCTATGGACGCAGAGATGGCTTCCTGGAAGTCCACAGGCACCTACGTTGACGAGGTTCCCCCGCCTGGGGCAAACATCGTCAGTGGCATGTGGATTTTCTGGGTGAAGCGGCCGCCGGGTTCTCCGCCTGTCTTCAAGGCGCGTTACGTGGCTCGTGGCTTCAGTCAGCGGCAGGGAGTTGACTACTTTCAGACCTTCTCTCCCACCCCGAAGATGACCACTCTTCGAGTACTGCTGCACATAGCTGCTCACCGTGACTACGAGCTTCACTCTCTTGACTTCAGCACAGCTTTCCTGCAGGGCAGTCTGCACGAGGAGATCTGGCTACGCCGCCCACCTGGCTTCACAGGGTCTTTTCCTCCTGGCACCCAGTGGAGCCTCCGGCGGCCAGTCTACGGCCTCCGCCAGGCACCGCGTGAGTGGCACGTCACACTGAGGACTACACTTGCGGCTCTTGGGTTTGCTCCCTCTACTGCCGACCCGTCGCTGTTTCTGCGCATCGACACTTCTTTGCCGCCGTTCTACATCCTCGTGTACGTCGACGACTTGGTCTTTGCCACAGCTGACACTGCTGGACTCGCCCACGTGAAGTCCGAGCTGCAGAAGAAACACACGTGCACAGACCTGGGTGAACTGCGCAGCTACCTTGGCTTGCAGATCACCCGGGACAGAGCACGCCGCACCATTACCCTGACTCAGTCACACATGGTGCAGCAGGTCCTTCAGCGCTTCGGCTTCACGTACTCCTCGCCTCAGGCCACTCCTCTGCCTACTCGCCACTCGCTCTCAGCTCTGCCTTCAGATGAGTCCGTAGAGTCGAGTGGCCCGCACCCAGAGCTTGTTGGCTGCCTCATGTACCTGATGACCTGCACTCGACCTGACCTTGCATAGCGTGCCAAGATGCTAAGAGGGTGTGCAAGGTCAGGTCGTGTGCACGTCATCAGGTACATGAGGCAGCCAACAAGCTCTGGGTACGGGCCATTCAGCTCTACGGACTCATCCGAAGGCAGAGCTGAGAGCGAGTGGCGAGTAGACAGAGGAGTCGCCTAAGGCGAGGAGTACGTGAAGCCGAAGCGCTGAAGGACCTGCTGCACCATGTGTGACTGAGTCAGGGTAATGGTGCGCTGTGCTCTGTCCCGGGTGATCTGCAAGCCAAGGTAGCTGCGCAGTTCACCCAGGTGTGTGCACGTGTGTCTCTTCTGCAGCTCGGACTTCACGTGGGCGAGTCCAGTAGTGTCAGCAGTGGCAAAGACCAAGTCGTCGACGTACACAAGGATGTAGAACAGCGGCAAAGAGGTTTCAGTGCGCAGAAACAGCGACGGGTCGGCTGTAGAAGGAGCAAACCCAAGAGCCGTAAGTGTAGTCCACAGTGTGTCGTGCCACTCACGGGGCGCCTGGCGGAGACCGTAGACTGGCCGCCGGAGGCTCCACAGGGTACCAGGAGGAAACGACCCAGTGAAGCCGGTGGGCGGCGCAGCCAGATCTCCTCGTGCAGGCTGCCCTGGAGGAAAGCCGTGCTGAAGTCAAGAGAGTGAAGCTTGTAGTCGCGCTGAGCGGCTATGTGCAGCAGCACCCGAAGAGTGGTCATCTTCGGGGTGGGAGAGAAGGTCTGAAAGTAGTCAACTCCCTGCCGCTGACTGAAGCCTTGAGCCACATAACGCACCTTGAAGACAGGTGGAGAACCCGGCGGCCGCTTCACCCTGAAAATCCACATGCCACTGACGATGTTCGCCCCAGGTGGGTGAACCTCGTCAACGTAGGTGCCTGTGGACTTCTAGGAAGCCATCTCTGCGTCCATGGCTGACTGCCACTGTGAGGAGTAGGGACCCTTGATCGCCTCAGCGTACGATCGAGGAGTCGGGATGTCTGGTGCATCCGGGTCTCCCTCAGGGGCAATCAGCGTGGACACGAGATGGGGCAAAGCAGCAGCAAAACACTGGAACTCCTCCTTCCTGTCCTCAACGACGTCCGTGCTAAGAGCACACTCACCCCCGACGGACGGAGGACAGACAGACTGAGACTCAGCAACAAGACTAGTGGCGTAGTCTAGACGACAAAGAGCAGCGAAGTCAACAAGCTCAGCCACTAAGGCAGACGCAGCAGTGGACTCAAAGGAAGGGTCAGTGACAACAGTGGCCAAGAGACGCGTGACAGTAGGACTGGCAGCACGAAGAGAGTCAGACTCCGGGTCAACAAGCACAGGAAGAGAGGACATTGGAGGAGACGGCAACGGGACACGCAGAGGAGCAGTGGAAGGACGCAGTGCCATCTGGTGTGTGCCTGGGACCATAGGAGGACGCGGACGCGGAGCACGACGACTAGTGCGAGCAGCACGAACAGGCGACGCAGGACGAGATGCAGGCTCACGACGCTCAGCAAGACCCCTAGTAGGACCAGTGTAGGGAGAAGGAGCAGGTAGGGGGGAGGCAAGCTGTAACTGTGACTGCGAGTGGACAGGCTGTGGACACTCTAAGGGAGGAGCAGGACCAGTCGAGGGCGGGAGACCAAGAACCTGCTCAAGGAGCGGAACGAAGTACGGCCTCGGCTGCGCAGCACCTCCAGAACCAGCAGGGACAGCACCAGTACCCCTAGCGGCACCACCAGCGCCAGCAGCACCTCCAGCTCCAACAGCGCCAACTCCAGCACCCTCAGACGCACCACCGCCAGCAGAAACACCAGCGCCAACACCCCCAGCAGCTCCAGCTTCAGCAGCTCCAGCAGCACCAACTCCAGCAGGACCGGCAGCTCCGGTACCGCCAGCAGCTCCAGCAGGACTAGCTCCAGGAGCCCCAGCAGCACCCCCAGTCCCAGCAGCTCCAGTACCGCCAGTACAAGCACCTCCGGGACCAGCAGCAACAGTAGTACCTCCAGCTCCAGCAGAACGGCTCCAGCGCCGGGCAAACCACTCGCGCTGCTCCTGTGGAGAGAGTGGCTCCCGCCTCGACGAAGCACCGCCGGCGGCCACACAAGCAGACCCAGCGCCCCCAGGCTCCAAACCCCCAGGCTCCGCACCCCCTGACGCAACACCCCCAGGCTCATCACCTCCAGACTCAGCACCCCCAGGCTCAGCACCCCCAGTCTCAGCACCCCGAGGCTCAACACCCCCAGACTCAGCACCTCCAGACCCGGCACCCGCAAGCTCAGCACCTCTAGCAGCACCAGAGTCAACAGCTACCTCGACAGGCTCGATTGTGTCTACCTGGGACACACCTGAAGGTGCAGGACCCTAAGGGGGGAGGGGGTCTACCAGGGGAGGACCCGGCACAAGGAAGAGCGGCGGCGGGGGAAGGGACGCAGCGCAGTAGGGGAAGAGACGGTAGTAAGGCACCGACTCGTCAAAGGTGACGTCCTGGGAGGACAGAACACGGCGCGAGGTGGGGTGGTAAAACTGCCAACCAGGCGCGTCAGGGGTAAAGCCAAGGTAGACGCAGGGAACAGCACGGGGGGACAGCTTGTCCGCAGACAAGTCGCGGACAAACGCCCGAGATCCCCATGTCAGGCATATATGCTAAAGTCAGTGTAGGCTGTAGTGGGGCTGTTTATATGGGGTACAACACTTTAGGGTATACTACTTGTACTCCTCATCCTGCTCAATGCATTCATTCCTCGATTCTTATCATGGTATCGAGCAGGTTCCCTAGTGGGAACGCTACCTAGGGCCCACCACGATTTTTTTCCTGCCCGGAGCGCACTTCACTCCTGCCCGAGTCGCGCTTTGTGTGCCCTCCCTACCTACGCGCCGCCCTTAGTGGCCCCTCTCACGGCCCCTTACGCCGCCCTTACGGCCCCTAGCGCCGCCCTCTTCGGCCCCTCGCGCTGCCCTTACGGCCCCTTACGGCCCCTCGCGCTGCCCTTACGGCCCCTTACGGCCCCTCGCGCCGCCCTTACGGCCCTCGCGCGGCCCCCTTTCAGCCCCTCGCGGCGCCCTTTCCGGCCCCTTACGGCCCCGTCGCCGCCCCGTTTCGGCCCCTTGCGGCCCCTCTGCGGCCCCGTCTAGGCCCCTTGCGGCCCCTCTGCGGCCTCTCTGAGACCCCGTCGCCGCCACCTACGGCCCCGTCGCCGCCACATGCGGCCCCGTCGCCGTCACCTGCGGCCCCGTCGCCGCCACCTGCAGCCTCGTCGCCGTCACCTGTGGCCCCGTCGCCATCACCTGCGGCCCCGTTGTCGCAGCCGCCACAGGTGGCGGCCCCGCCGCCACCTGCGGCCCCTTCGCCGCCACCTGCGGCCCCGTCGCCGTCATCTGCGGCCCCGTCGCCCTCCCCTAGCGGCCCTGTCGCCGCTCAGCCGCCCAGCGATCGAGCCGCCGAGCAACCCATCAGCCGAGCCGCCCACCTGCCGAGCAGCCGAGCCGCCCAGCAGCCGAGCCGCCCAACAGCCGAGCCGCCAAGCAGCCGAGCCGCCCAGCAGCCAAGCCGCCCAACAGCCGAGCCGCCAAGCCGCCGAGCCACCCGGCTGCCAAGCCGCCCAGCCGCCGAGCCGCCCAGCAGCCGAGCCGCCTAGCAGCCAAGCCGCCCTGCCACCGAGGCGCCGAGCTGCGGAGCCGCCCTACTGTCGAGCCGCTGCTGTTCCTACCGGTGCGCCCCGGCCCTCCTTCCTCGGACTGGTGAGCTCACTCCCTCCTAGGCCACTGCAGTCATAGCTACCCCCAGTGTCCTTACTTTTGATGCTGAGGGCCGTGCCGTTGACTTTGAGGTCTGGGTCGATGACCTCTAGCTGTTTCTCTAGTGCGATAGGGCAGACGGACTTTCTCTGTTCCATCTCACCTCTGGTGTCTCTCCTGCCCCGCCTGCCACTGCTGACAGCACTGTTCGCTCACAGTGGGCCACACGCGATGCTGCTGCTCGCCTTGCTGTGCGTCGCCACTTACCGACCACTGAGCGTGCACACTTTAGCCAGTACAAGAGTGCTCAGACCTTGTACGACGCTGTAGTTGCACGGTACTCTTCCCCTGCCACTGCTGCACTGAGCCGCTTCATGCTACTGTACCTCTTCCCTGACCTTGCTGCCTTCCCCACAGTCGCTGACCTCATTACGCCCCTCCGCACTAGTGACACTCGCTACCGCGCTGCGCTTCCTGCTGAGTTCTGCGCCAAGAACCCCCCCCCCCCATGTACATCACCCTCTACTACATAGTCACCCGGCTCCCTGACTCTCTCCGTGTAGTTAGGGACCACTTCCTCTCAGTTTGCCCCACCACTCTCACCGTTGACCTCCTCGAGAAGAGCCTCCTAGCAGCAGAGAAGAGCATAGTCGCTGTAGGACCCTCTCGTGGTAACCCTCGCACCCCCGTCTTTGAGGGGTGTTCCCCCTCCCCCCTCTTGCCCTCTCTTGCCTCTGCTGCTGCAGCCGACCTCGTTGGTTTCGAGTCGGTCGGCGCTGCGTCTGCCCCTAGCAGGAGACGCCACACCGGGAAGGGCAAGGGGGGCAAGGGCGCTGGAGGGGCTGGCGGGGGCGGTGGAGGTGGTGGTGGAGGCAGTGGAGGGGGTGGGGGTGGTGGTGGGAGTGGTGGCGGGGGTGGAGGTGTCGGTGGCAGCAGTGGAGGCGGAGGAGGCGGCGGCGGTGGTGGAGGGAGCGGAGGCGACGGAGGTGGTGGAGGCGGCGGAGGCGGCGGAGGTGGCGGAGGCGGCGGCGGCAGCAGTAGACCTGGTCGCAGCTCTGCGCAAAGGAGTGGCTCTGGTGGTGGTACGCGCCAGCAGCAGCAGCGCAGTCGTGAGACTCTGTCCCCTCAGCAGCTTCGTGAGTGGTACGCTGCGCGTCAGCGCGGTGGGGGTACGGGTCCCTGCACCTACGTTCTCCGCACCGGCGACCGCGCTGGTGAGCAGTGCGGGGGCCCGCACTCCACCCAGCGCTCCTTCGGCCGCTTGATGGACGCGTGGCGTCACCAGTTCCCCGAGGCCTCTGAGATCCCTCGCTGGGGAGAGCTGTCTAGGGCGAGGGTTGCTATCTTTGGTCTTGATTTTGATGCTATTCTTGCTGCCATGTATGCTGTTGCTGATAGTGTTGAGGGTGACTGTTACCTATGTGTTCCGCCTGACCCGGGCATTGAGGCTGCTGCTCTAGGTGCTAGTGAGGCTGCTGCTCTAGGTGCTAGCGCGTCTGCTGCCCCAGGTGCTGGTGAGTCTGCCCTCTCAGGTACCACGTCGGCTTAGGCCTTACACACCTTCACCCTTGACTCAGGTGCTTCCCGCTCCTTCTTTCAAGACCGCACCACACTTACGCCGCTTAGTCGGCCGGTTGCGGTCTCCCTGGCGGACCCCTCTGGGGGTCCTGTCCTTGCTCGCTTCTCCACTGTCTTACCGGTGGAGGACCTGGCACAAGGAAGAGCGGCGGCGGGGGAAGGGGCGCAGCGCGGTAGGGGAAGAGACGGTAGTAAGGCACCGACTCGTCAAAGGTGACGTCCTGGGAGGACAGAACACGACGCGAGGTGGGGTGGTAAAACTGCCAACCAGGCGCGTCAGGGGGGAAGCCAATGAAGACGGAGGGAACGTGGAGCTGGTCGACCAGAAGGGACGTCGACCTGGAGGAGGTCAACCAAGGGGCGTGGTCGTCCTGGTGAGGTCGACATGGAGGTGGTCGTCGACTTGGGAGGTCGACGGGCACGTACGAGAGCTGCTCGTCGACGTGGTTGCCCGGTCGACCAGGTTACCTGGGTTACAAAGTGCTGCGGAGGAGTGCGACGGTCGCCCAGGCGAAGTTGGCGAGACCGACCTCGGTGGTGGTATCCCGAGGTTGTCTTGGCGGATCAGAGGCAATCGTCTGCTCGAGGTTGACGTGGTGTGTGCGCTGTGCAGGTGACGAGACTCTGCACGCCAATCATCTGCGCGCACCTGCGAAGCGGGTGCACTGCTGTCCTGCGTGAGCAATGCTGGCACGCCATCAACCTGCGACGTTGGCACGCCGTCGACCTTGCCTTGCTGGAGTGCGGTCGACCAAGTTGTGCTGGAACGCGGTCGACCAAGCTCCGCTGGCAGTTGGCTGACCTGAATGCTAGCTTTGATGTAGTCTTGCATTGCCAACTTCATTGAATCATTGTTGTCATGTTTTCCTAGTAAAAAAAAAACCTCTTGCCAATTCTCCCCGTGAACTAGCAAGAAGCGTAAACACAAGGAAATGACTAAGTGATCGAACGCAGAGATCACACGAGCACACGTGCCTAGCCCGTAGTCTAGCTCCCGTTGCAGCTTTTATCTCCGCAGTCCTGCGGGTGCAACGCTGTGCAGCCGACTTGTTGTAGCGCTGGCAGACCATAGACTTGCAACGTTGGCGCACCGCGACCCTGCAACACTGGAGTGGTGCGAGCGCTGCTGCGCTGGAGCGCGGTCGACCATGCTGCGCTGGAGGTCGACCAACAGCCTAGCTAGCTCTGATATAGTCTCTGTTGCCAATGTTGCTGTACCCATTGTTCTGAACTTTTCCTAGTGGAACTCTTGCCAACTTTCCCCGTGAACTAGCAAGTGTGTGCGCATAAGGAAACGACTAAGGAACGAACGAACGCAGAGATCACCCGAGCACCTGTGCCTAGCCCGCAGTTTAACTCCCGTATCTCCAGTTATCTCCGCAAGTAACAGTCACCCTCAGCACTAACAGACAATGCATACATGGCAGATAGGATAGCATCAAAGTCTAGAGCAAAGATATCAACATTCTGCCTAAGTAGCGCCGCCCAGTCGGGGAGCTCAGCCGCGTCGGGGAACTCTGCGCGGAAGGCGCCGGTAAGGTGGTAGAAGCAGTGGTGCTGAGTGTGAGACCTCCCGCATGTCTGACCAGTGCGGTCATCTGTGCGAATGACATACGGGCAGAGACCACTACCCCCAGCCGCCCCACGTTGAGCAAACCATTCACGGAGCTCCTGAGACGAAAAGGGGCTGACGGTGCTGCTGCTAGTGGCCACCTCCAAGGCCTCCCCTCTGGGTGGTGCCACCCCTCCAAGGGTGAACGTGGCCAGGTGCCTGCCACTCTGGGAGCACGTATCGATCGCCACACGCTGTCCTCCAGGGTGAAGGTATCAACCCAGGCATCCTGAAGGACGGCGTTGCTCACAAAGTTCGTAGAGAACGAAGGGAGGTGGAGACCTGATAGTGAGCCAGACGGAATCGCCGGATACGGCAGTACAATGGAGGAACGCGCAAGGACTGGGCCCCCAGAGGGGTCAGCCAGAGAGACAGCAACAGGTGCTGAGAGCGGTGTGACTGTGGTACTGTCGTGAAAGAAACAGCGAGAAGCACCTGAGTCAAGCGTGAAGGTATGCAAGGCCGCAGCAGACGCGGTACGTGAGAGAGCAGACTCACCAGCACCTAGAGCAGCGGACTCACTAGCATCTAGAGCAGCAGCCTCTATACCTGGGTGTGGCGGCATACACAGGTAATAGTCACCCTCAGCACTGACAGTCAATGCATACATGGCAGCAAGGATAGCAACATAATCAAGAGCAAAGATATCAACACCCTGCCTAAGCAGATCTGCCCAGCGGGGGAGCTCTGCCGCGTCGGAAAACTCGGTACGGAAGGTGTCGGTAAGACGAGCGAAGCAGCGGTACAAGGTTTGAAGCTTCCTGCATGTCTAACCAGAGCGGTCACCTGTGTGAATGACATACGGGCAAGGACCACTACCCCCAGCTGCCCCACGTTGAGCAAATCACTCACGTAGCTCCTGAGGCGAAAGACGCTGCTGCTGCTGCCTCTGACCATCGCTAAGGCCTCCCCTCTGGCTGGTACCACCTCGGCCGCCACCACTGCCGCCGACTCCACTCCTAGTGCCTCCACCACTGCCGCCGCCACCACCCCCACCAACGCCACCACCGCCTCCACCTGCGCCTCTACCCCCACCCCCACTCTCTCCGCCACCGCCGCCCCCTCCACCGCCTCCACCGCCCCCACCACCTCCTCCACCTCTGCCACCCCCACCGCCCCTACCTCCCCTGCACCTGTTGCTACGGTGCCTCCCATTAGGGGCAGACGCAGCTCCCACCTCCTGTGCATGAAGATAGTCAACAACTGCAGCCGAGGTGATGGAGGGGAGAAGAGGGGAGGGCGAGCACCCCTCAAAGAAGGGAGTGCGAGGAGTGCCACAAGAAGCGCCTACAACTATGCTAGTCTCATCTACAAGGAGGTGCTTCTCGAGCAGGTCAACAGTGAGGTCTGTGGGGTCAAGGGTGAGAAGGAGGTCCCTGACAGCGCTAAGAGAGTCAGCGAGGCGGGTCACTATGGAGTAGAGACTGATGTCATGGGAAGAGGGTTCTTGGTGAGGATCTCGGCAGGAAGCGCAGCTCGGTAGTGGACGTCACTAGTGCGAAGGTGAGTGATGAGGTCGGAGACTGTGGCAAAGGCGGATAGCTCGGGGAACAGGTAGGGCAGTAGAAGCGCGCGACGGCGAGCGGCGCGCTTGCAAGGAAGGGCATGCGGGCAGAGCAGGGTGCGCGACGGCGAGTGGCGCGCGGGTAGAGCAATGCGCGCGGCAGCGATTAGCGCGTGTGCAGAGCGGCGCGGCGCGGCGGCCAGCAGCGTGCGAGCAGGGCGTGCGGCACAGCAGCGAGCGACGCGCGGTTCAGGCACTGCGCGCGGCGGCGAGAAGCGTGCGGGCAGGGCAAGGCGTGCAGCAGCGAGCAGCTCGCGGGCAGGGCAGGGCAGGGCAGGGTAGGTGGGCGCGGCACTAACAGGGTGGCGCGACTCGTGGGGTAGCGCGGTTCGGTGGGCCCTTAAAAAAAATCCGATCCTAGGCTAGGACCTGCTCTGAAACCATGTCAAGAGAACGAACGAGAATGTGTCAACTATCTGTCAAACTATACTCTACAGTTTGTTTAGGCTGTAGTGGGGTAGTTACCATGGGGTACAGTAAGTTTAGGGTTTCCTACTTGTACCCACCACTTTTCTAGTGCAGACACACTTGTTCATTTTAACATGCTATTACGAGCCTAGGTTAGGAACATAGGACCGCTTAGTCCTAAGGGCCCACCGTTCCGCTAGAAGCGCCCTTGTGCGCCCCGCCTGCTTAGCACCCTCGTGCGCCTCTCTGCTAGTGCGCCCTCGCGCGCCCTCCCTCTCACGCTGCCCGTGCAGCCCGCGAGCCGCCCGAGCGTGGCCCCCCGTTTTTAGCGCGCGCAGCCTGCTAGCCACCCGTGCGCGGCCCGTTTTCTCGCGCGAGCCCGTAGGCCGTTGCCCACAGGCCGCCGCTCGCCCGTAGGCCGACGCTCGTACGGCTGCCGCCCGCCCGCAGGTCGCAGCCTGCGCGCCGCGGTTGTCGCTCGTCGGCTGCTGCAGCTCGCGCTTAGTCGTCGCCTATAGGAAACCGCGGCCCGCGCGCAGCCGCACCCTAGACGCGACCGCGCACCGCGCACAGGCCCGCCGTCGAGCCGCGCCGCACCGTCCTGCCCGAGCCGCGCCGCGCCGTCCTGCCCGAGTCGCGCCGCCCTTACCGGGCCGCGCTGCCCCACCTGCAGCAACTGCTGCTCCTGTTCCTGCTGCTACTGCTGTTCTTACTGTTGCTGTTGCTACTGCTACTGCTGTTACTGCTAGTGATGTTACTGCTACTGCTGCCACCATGGCTACTCCCACCATTCTCTCTTTCGATGCTGAGGGCTGCCAGGTTCAGTTTGATGCTTGGCTCGACGACCTGCACCTGTTCCTACAGATCACTGCTAAGGATGATATCTCACTGTATGATCACGCGTCCGGAACCGCTCCTGCACCTGCTGAGACTGCTGACAGTACTGCTCGCTCCCAGTGGCAGACTCATGGCGCTCACGCTCGCCTAGCCATTCGTAGCCACCTACCGTTAGATGAGCGTGCGCATTTTGGCCAGCACAAGACTGCTAAGGCACTGTACGATGCTGTAATAGCGCGCTACTCCTCGCCTACCTCTGCTTCGATCGGCCGTCTCTCGCTGCCCTATCTTTTCCCCGATCTGGCCGCCTTTCCCACAGTCGCTGACCTCATTACTCACCTCCGCACTAGTGACACTCGCTACCGAGCCGCCCTTCCTGCTGAGTTTCTTGCCAAGAATCCTCCCCCGATGTACCTCGTTCTCTACCACCTAGTCACCCGTCTCCCTGACTCTCTTCGCGCAGTCAGGGACCACTTTCTCGCCCTCTGCCCCACCGAGCTCACCGTTGACCTGCTCGAGAAGCACCTGCTTGCAGCTGAGGCTAGCATAGTCACTGTGGGTGCCTCTCGTGGCGACCCTCGCACGCCCTTCTTTGATGGGTGTTCCCCTCCCCCCCTTCTCCCCTCGGTCGCCTCTGCTGCTGCTGTCGACTACCTTGGTGCTGAGGAAGTCGGGGCTGCGTCTGCTCCTAGTGGCAGGCGCAAGGGCGGCAGGGGCAAGGGGGGCAAGGGTGGTGGCGGTGACAGTGGGGGAGGTGGAGGTGGAGGCGGTGGGGGCGGTGGGGGTGGTGGCAGTGGTGGGGGTGGTGGCGGGGTTGGGGGGTCCGTGGCAGCGGCCGGGGTGGTGGCGGCATTGGTGGTGGAGGGGGCCGGGGTGGAGGCGGTGGTGGTGGCGGCAGTGGGCGTGGTGGCGGCGGCTGGGATGGTGGTCGGGGTGGACCAGCGCAGCGTGGAGGTTCGGGTGGGGTCCAGCGCCACCAGCAGCGTCTCGGAGAGACCCCGTCGCCCCAGCAGCTTCGTGAGTGGTACTCTCAGCATGGGGGGTCTGGGGGTGGAGGTACCTGCCTGTATGTCATCCGCACACGTGACCGAGCTGGTCAGACGTGTGGGATGCCCCACACGCGGCAGCGCTGCTTCTCCCGTCTCGACGACGCCTGGCGTGCACAGTTTCCTGACGCCTCTGAGCAGCCCCGCTGGGCTGATCTGCTTAAAAAGAACATTGATATATTTGCTCTTGACTTTGATGTTATCCTTCTGCTATATATGCATTGTCTATTAGCGTTGAGGGTGATTGTTACCTGCGTGTCCCGCCCGACCCGGGCATTGCGTCCAGTGGGGCTGCAGCTCTAGGTGCTAGTGCGTCTGCTGCCCCAGGTCCTAGTGAGGCTACTGCTCTAGGTGCTGGTGCGTCTGCTGCTTCAGGTGCTCGTGAGTCTGTGCCTTCAGGTACTGCGTCTAGTGCGGCACTACAAACCTTCACACTGGACTCGGGTGCTTCCCGTTGTTTCTTTCGAGACCACACTGCCCTAGCGCAGCTCCCTAGGCCTGTTGCTCTCTCACTGGCTGACCCCTCCGGGGGTCCGGTCCTTGCGACCTCCACCACTGCCCTCCCTTGCCCTGCTGTCCCGTCCGGCACATTGTTGGGTCTTTACCTCCCCTCGTTCTCTACAAACTTGGTGGCGGGTTCCGCGCTCCAGGACGCGGGTGTTCACCAGTTCACCCCTGCCTACGAGCGTGTGACACACTGCACGTGTGCTCAGACGGGTCGTCACCTTGCTACCTTCACTTGGCAGCCGGGGTCGGACCTGTAAACACTGACCACAGAGTCCCCTCAGGTAGCTGCGTCTGCGTCAGCGTCAGGTTAGTTGTCCGCCCCCTGCTCGTGTCGCACCGGACGGTCCTCTAGCATCACCGCCTTGGTCACCCTTCGATGCAGCGCCTTCGTGGCATGCACTCCCGATACCTTGTCTCTGGTCTCCCCAGATCAATGCCTCCCTTGCCACCGTCCCCTGCCCCTCCTTGCCTTCCCTGTGTTGAGGGGCGGCAGTGCGCTGCCCCTCACTACTCTGAGTTCCCCCCGACGGAGGCTCCTCTGCAGACCCTTCACATGGACGTGTGGGGCCCAGCCCGCGTCCGTGGACAGGGCGGAGAGCACTACTTTCTACAGGTAGTTGACGACTACACGCGCTACACCACATTCTTCCCCTTGCGCACCAAGGGTGAGGTCCCTGATGTCTTGATCCCTTGGATCTGCGCTACCCGTCTCCAGCTGGAGAGGCACTTTCACACGGACCTTCCCGTCCTGCGACTGCACTCTGACAAATGTGGTGAGTTTTCCTTCGACCTCTTGAGGGCCTTCTGTCAGGGGGAGGGCATTGAGCAGACGTTCACGCTTCCGACCTCTCTGCAGCAGAATGGGGTTGCTGAGCGCCGCATTGGCTTGGTCATCGAGGTTGCTCGTACCTCCTTGATCCATGCTGCTGCCCCCCATTTTCTGTGGCCGTTTGCGGTCCGGTACGCCGCGCATCAGCTCAACCTCTGACCCCGTGTCTCCGTTCCGGAGACCTCGCCGACACTGCGTTGGACGGGAGAGGTTGGTGATGCGTCCGTGTTCCGGGTCTGGGGATCTCGTGCCTTTGTCCGCGGTACGTCCGCGAACAAGCTCTCCTCCCGCGCCGTTCCTTGTGTCTTCCTTGGCTTTGTCCTTGACGCGCCTGGTTGGCAGTTTTACCACCCCACCTCGCGCTGTGTCTTCCCCTCTTAGGACATCACGTTTGACGAGTCGGTTCCCTTTTATCGTCTCTTCCCCTACCGCACTGCCCCGCTCCCCCCTCCGCCGCTCTTCCTCATGCCAAGCGCTGCTTCGGTAGACCCCCTACCTCCCCAGGGTCCTGCTCCCTTAGGTGTTTCCCAGGTAGACCCAGTCGCGCCTGTTGAGGTAGCTGTCGACTCTGGTACTGCGTGAGGTACTGAGCCTGAGTGTACTGAGCCAGGGGGTGCGGAGCCTGGGGGTGCTGAGACTGGGGGTACTGAGCCTAGGGGTGCGGAGCCTGGGGGTGCGGAGCTTGGGAGTGCTGAGCTTGGAGGTCTTGAGCCCGAGGGAACTGCGCCTGGGGGCGCTCTCTCGTCCCAGCAGCTGCGTGAGTGGTACTCTCAGCACTCTCGCCGCCGCCGTGGTTCCGTGGGAGCTGCGGGTGCTACTAGAGCTGGAGCTGAGGGCGTTGGAGCTACTGGTGCTGGTGTGGCTGCCGACCTTGGGGTTGGCGCTGGAAGTGCTGGCGCCACTGGTCCTGGAGGTGCTCGTACTGGCGGTATCGGAGCTGGTGGGACTGGAGGTACTGCTGGAG